AGGCAGAATTCTGAATGTTGTTGTTATGTGCTGTCAAGTCGGACCCGACTCAAAGTGACCCCTCCTTGGGTTTCCAAGGCAGTATCACTACGGAAGTAGATTGCCCCATCTTCCTTCCAAGGAGTGGCTGGTGGGTTTGAACCGCCAGCCTTCTGATTAGCAGTCAAGTGCCTTAGGCACTATGCTACCCGAGCTCCCCAGAATTCTGAATAGAACAACTAAATACAGGTTAAAAACCATAAAACCATGTGGTAGGTTCTGTTGTTGAAATGCAAAGTGTATGTGTGTGGTGGAGTGAGGGTGGAGTGAAGTAATAAATGGCAGAGGTTGAGAGGCCAAATCATGGAAGGCCATGCTAATTTTATTAACCTATATAGTGCATAAGGTTAGTTCTAAATCGGCAAATAAAAAGAATTAAAATTACAAAGGTTTTCTACAAATCCATAATACAAATAATCTATATTTTAATTAGGACAGAAACCAATGCAAATTATCTTAAACAAGGGACTTTATTGGCTCACAAAAATTTAAAGTCCAGAGGTAGGGCAGGCTTTAGGCACAGCTGGATCTAGGGCCTCAAGAAAAGTGACTTCAGGACTTAGTTGTCTTCCCATTCCTGCTAGCCTCCAAGTTTCTTCTCAAATGGACTCTCCACATGGTACAAATTCAGGCTTACATGGTCCTCAGTTCCTGGAATTTCAGTAAAGCCTTCTTCCAAATAATTCCAGAAGTTCTGTTGAGGGTTCTCATTCACCTGGCTAGAGTTACACGACCATTCTTTAATCACTGTGGCTAGGGAGCCATGGGCCTGAATGGCCAGGCCTGGTCATGTGTTCACCCTATGTGGGGTCTGGAGGAGGGTGACACCACCTAAACCACAGGGAATGGGCTCTCCACAATAAATAAGGGTTATCAGAAGATGGGGAAAGAGATAACAAAACAAAAACAAGTGGCCACACATAACCTAATAGAAAAGTAGGTAAAGGATATGAACAATTTATGGGTGACTATAAATGGCCACTAAACATATTAAAACACCCTCACTCTCACCACTAAGGGAAATGCAAATTATTACTTATTTTTTTTTTTTTTGCCCATCAGATAAAAGGTATCAAGTGTAGGTATAGCTATATGGGGAAATTAAATTTTCATACAGTTAGTATGATTTACAAGGCTATAGGTTGGTCTTAGAAAACACACCATTTGACCCAGAAATCTCCCATCTAGGACTCCATTCTAAAGAAGTACTCAAACACATGCACAAATATATCTGAATAATATGCTTAGCTCAGCATTGTAATGGCAAGAGAGAAAAAGAGAATAGTTAAAGGTATTTTCATAGTACTGAATCCTGTGCAGATGTTAAAGAAATTCAAAGATCTCAGGATCTTTGAGGGAAAACAAAACAAACCAAACCAAGATGCAGAATACATATAGCATGATCCTATATATGCGAAAACTGTTCATATGTGCATGTATATTCTTATGGAAATGTATGAAAAAGGGAATAGAAGAATGTATACTAAACTAGGAAGTGGAATGTGATTGGAAGTGCCGGACGTGCTCTTACACTTGTGTATCATTTAACTTTGTACAGTGAGAAGGTAGTCATTTATACTTTGATAATTAAAAAAAAAAAAAAATAGACAATAGCAATTCACAGAACCAGGAATGCAAATGACCAATAAACATATGAAAAGATGTTCCTCCTCATTAACTAACGAAGGAAAGATAAAACTAACAAAAATTTTTAAGGATGCAGGGTTAATGGGAGTGTAGGCAAACAGGCACTCCTACTATTAATGGAGTTATAAATTGGTACTGTTTTTGGTGGTATTTCTCCAAACAAATGTGCAGTTTCTGACCCAATAAATCCATTTCTAGCTATTTTTCCTACAGAAATTACTACACAAGTAGCAAAAAATATATGTACAGATGTTTACTACACTTTTATCTGTAATAAAAAATTAGAAAGAACCTAATTACCCATCAATAAGGGGTTGGTTAAATAAATTACATTATATTCATGCAAAGGAATAGTATTTAGCCATGAAAAACAATGTCTTTATCCAAGTGGGAGGGAAAAGGCAAGTCTTAGTGTAGTACATGTAAAATGGCAATAAAAGTAACTATACCTCATATGGTTGCTCTGAGGATTAGAGTTAATCCATTATAAAGCACTTAGAACAGTGCCTGAATACAGCAAGCACAAGTGTCATATATTAACACATTCTTGCTTAAATATATATATATATATATATATATGTATATATATGCCCAAAAAGTCCAGAAAACCAACAAACCAATTAACTATGATTTCTGAGTGAGATTGTGAGGGAGGTGTACTTCATTATACACTTGTGTAGTGTAGAAAATTAAAACAAGCTTTAATAGCTGTCACATTTGTTAATCATAAAAGATAAAATCATAACATTAACCAAGTTTAACAGCCATAACTCATGGCACAGTGAAAAAACATTTGCACTTGGAGTTCACAGAACTAGATTTAAGTTTTAGCTCTAACTGGCCACATGCAAGTCACACAATCTGAATCTTGCTTTCCTAATCTACAAATCTAAGTGAGAGAGATAGGTAGTGTCTAACCCAATGCCTGGCATGCACATTATTTCAATACAGGTAACCTTACCTTCAACTCACATAAATATGGTAGACATATTGCTAAATGATCAAGTGTCAACTGGGTTTGAATGAGTTTAATCTCCAAGAAAGCCAGAAAAATCAGCAGCCACCAGCAGATGGTTCAGTGGTTATTCAGCAGGTACCAGATATCCTAGTTAAGCACTGTATGGCAACTGCCTGATCATGACTTCTTAAGAGGCTGGGTACTGCCAATAACAGTATTATCTATGTGGATATAAATGAACATCTGGATGAACTCATCAACAGTCAATCCCCCTTTCTGTGTACCACGATCTAGCTTTTCAGCTCAGCCCTTTTTCCCCCACAGAGCCTGCCTTGCCCTAGCCTCAGAACCATTTCTAAACAATGTACAGGTACCAGAGTTGGCAAGACAAAAACTCTGATACTACTTCCAAGCTCTCACATTACTGAACGTCTTTGGCATTTATGACAGACCTATCACAGGGAAGCTCCTTTATATATAAAAGATCTAAAAAAGTATGACACTTCACCCACTAAGAGTTTGCTCCCCTCTTACCTACTCTGATACAAGAATCCTATCGTCCCAGAAGTAGTATTCCAAATATGCCACCTCAAAACCTACTTGGAAAGAAGTCAGTTACAAATAAATCAATCAACTCAAGATAGTTTTATCTCAGAGCGGAGGAGTTTATAGCTTTATTGGACATTGACTTGTTTCCTCAGCCCCAAAGAGAAAGATCCAAACAAAAGTCCCTACATTTTGTATAACTTAAAATACATTATATCATTACTACATATTTATACTTCAATAAATCTTAATCTATAAAGCACATTTTTTTGTAATTGTTATCAGAAAATCTATAAACAAGCTCCACTCTGCACACTTCTCCACCATATGGCCTTGCATTTATTACTATGCTTTTTAACAGGCTCATGCAAATCTGACCTTCTGTTTCTGAACTTGATCCAAAAACCAGATGTAACCAAAATCTCTGGAATTATGGAATACTGGTATTCATGTGGGCGACTTTCCACACAATGATGCCCACTCTAAAAAAAAGCCTTTCCTCATATTCACTATTTTAACTTCCAGAGTTTTCCACTAAATAGTAGAACCACAGCACTTGGGATTCTCAGCCAAATCCTACTACTACAATGTTATTACCTTAATACATTTTTAAAATGTGTTAAGACTGAAAAATTTTTAAAAGTTCAGTCAATTCTGAAAGTTAATAAACTAGTTGTTAATAAGCTAGTTGTTTATTTTTAAAACAGTCCACTCAACATACAGGTACCTCAGTGCTACTGGAGATTTAGTTTTCTAAAGACTCAAAAATGCCAAATCATGATACAGTATCTATCTCAGACTCAGCTCTGAAAAATGCTGAAGTGCTGGCTAGCTCTTCGAACTGATTCACCCCCTCCCTTACCAAATATAATATCCTGGTAAGAGAACAATGGCTCTGAAAATTTCAGACATGACCTCCCCCGGGATTGGTCAGGGGAAAAGGATAATTCATACGAAAGTTTTGAATCAAACCCTCAATGATTTACAGTGGAAGAAACCTACCTACTTATGGTAGGATTACAGTACCAAGCACAGTGCCTTGTAGGTAGAAAATAATAAACACACAACTGTTTTGGGCTTCTTTTAGCCTGGTGTTCAACCCTTTTGTACCAAAGAATAATCTCAAACAGACCTGATAACTGTTGCCCACTTGTCATGGCATTCTCTGTCCTTAACAAAGATGAAGGCAAAATGATAATCAATTACATCTTCAAGTCTCTTGTTTTCTAGAAGCCAAGACACACTAGTACCTTTTACATTTGGCCTTCAACACTGCCATTCACTACAAATTCTTTTCTAATGTTGTAATTTCTACCTTCTGTTTTAACTGTTGTTTTAGACTGTCTACTTTCTAAAGATGCATGGGGAACATTTTCATTAGTAGGGAGCCTCCAAATTACATACAGGATGAGCTGTTTCTTAGTTTTCCTGCAGGAAGACTACTACATTTAGGTAAATTCTTCATATATTTCAAATTTCATATCTAACTATTTGTGTATCTTCCCCAATCGTAAATGTCCTACTCACTGTTTGATGCTTTATCACCATCACCTCTTAGTGGAAATTTTAAGGCTCATATTACTTTGAGGCATTAATCATCCTCTATCTCTGATTTTCTGAAATGTGTATTCAAATTAGGTAAAGAGAGACAAAAGGATAAATTTTGAAAAGATCATTTCAGTTTTCCAACTTTATAACCCCTATGTTGCCTTTTAATGTAGAAGGGAATGTATCTTTCCAAAGAATTATTTCACTGATCAAAATAGAAATAATATATTTGTCTAAAAGGGAAACTAAAGAAAGGGACAAAGAATCAGGTAGTTCATTATTTGGAAAAATAATAGAAAGTATAAATATCACATGGAAGATTTAGGCATTAACACCTGAATTAAGTTTAAAATTTCAGTTTCTAGACAGGTATGACACCATTTCTCTCAAGATAAACTAATAATGGTGGATGAAAAATTTTTACATTTCCCAGTGGATTTTCTGACAGTCAATAGGGAAGCAAACTATTATGTATCATTTCATGGTTTTAATTTTATCTTCATTTCTGAAGAAAAAGACCTGAGTGCTGAATTTTTTTTCAATTTCTTAAACTTTCACAACATTCAGAAGTTTTTCTGCATTGTGTCTTCTCTGATGTCTAAAAAGATTTGAGCTTTGACTATAGGATTTCCCACACTGAACACATTCGTAAGGTTTCTCCCCAGTATGGATTCGCTGATGATTAATAAGCCCCGAATTCTGGCTAAAAGCTTTCCCGCATTCAAGACATTTGTAAGGTTTTTCTCCGGTATGGACTCTCTGGTGCTGCACAAGGATGGAGCTTCTGCTGAACGCTTTCCCACACTCAACACATCCGTAGGGCTTCTCCCCACTGTGAATTCTTTGATGAAGAATAAGGGCTGAGCCCTGACTGAAGTGTTTTCCACATTCATCACATATATGCTGTTTCTTTCGAGAGGGATTTCTCTTTCTTTCAAACCTGCCCTTGGGGAAACAGGCTTCTCCATATTTAAAAATTTGAGGAACACCTATATTGAGAGTGCCAGGAACAACATCGTGAGATTCTACTGCTGAAGAAATCTCCTGCTTTGGAGCCAGTGCTCCATTTTCAGTCCTAGCATCATCATCTGAAATAAACAGAAAAAGTAAGTATCATTCATTTCCTATTCTGGGAAACAGTAACTGCAGAAATTATTTTTTAAAAAAATCAATTAAGAGTTGGTGTACATCTGTAAATAGTATTCTGTAAAGAGATGTCAAAGTTGCCTACTCTCAGAATTATGATTTTTTATGCAACTAATAAGGTAAGAGGGTATAACATAATGAGGGATTAAAAGTTTGTGTTTGAATAAAAGAACACAGGTGAGTGGGCCATATATGGTAGTAAGAAAACAAAAGGCAGAAAGATGATAGATTCTAAATTGGTTATGGAGTCAAAGTGATGTGGCTAAGTTTGCATGAAACTCTGTAACAAGGAAAACAAAATAAAATTGGCCATTAGGAAATCAAGACAATGTTCTCTTCTTTTGACCAAAGGAGAATTTACAGCAAAATATAAAGGTATAAATAACACGAATAGTCACAAAGTGACTATTTCTAAAATGAGCAACACAAGGCAGGTCACAGCCAGGATCACAGTGAAAGGAGAGCAAAGGAGAGTCCTGAACAGATGGAGCTGAAGAGAACCTGAGGGCGCCTGTGCTACAACTGGGGTATGATATTTACAACTTGAACATGCTCCTTAAAAAATAAGTTTTCCACATGAAGAACTGTTCACGATCATTAACCATTAGAGAGATGCAAATCAAAACAACAAGATACCATCTTGCCCCAGCACTAGTAGCAAAGGTTAAACAAGTAAGAAAGTAACAAATTCTGCCAAGGATGTGGAGAAATTGGGACTCTCATATATTGCTGGTGGGACTGTAAAATCATAAAACCACTGTGGAAAGCAGTGTGGTGATTCCTTAGAAAGCTAGAATTAGAAACACCATTTTACCCAGCAATCCCATTACTATCCCATCCTAAAGAAGTGAGAGCAAGGACAAGAACAAATATATGCACACCCATGTTCATCGCAGCACTATTTACAACAGCTAAAAGATGGAAACAACCTAGGTGCCCATCACCAGAAAAATGGATAACCAAACTATGGTACGTACACACAAAGGAATACTATGCAACCCTAAAGAAGAAAGCAGAATCTGCAAAACACCACATAACATGGATGAACTTGGAGAACATTATGTGGAGTGAAATAACTCGATTACAGAAGGACAAATATTGTATTACTTCATTATTGTGAAAAGTCAAGGAAAGATTTATATATGGAAGGAAATTTTCTTTGTTGGTTACCAGGGGTAGGAAGGGGAGGGAGGGTACAATGCTAGATAGGTAGAGATAAGTACTGATTTGGGTGAAGGGAAGGGCAATGTACCAAATGTGTGTGATCAACATGGCACTGAGGAAGAGGAAGACAGAAAGGTATGTGGGAGTTATAGACAACAAAGATGAACCCTTTTGCACATACAGTACCGCACTGTCAGTGATGGCAAACACTGATCTATGGGTGGACAGGCTGACCGATTAGGTATGTCTATTCAGGGTGGTGAAGTGTGCCCATCACCATTTAATGGTTTGGCAGACAATGTTTCTACAAGTCTATGTTCTATAAGAGTTTCCAGGTATACAGTAGAGCTGACAAGGGACAAGTTGTTGTCGCTTCTTGGCCACAGCCAGCTACCCAGAAGGAGCGAGTAGTTGGACCTGTGGGCTTAGGACCATGGTCACAAGGGATGTCAAGCTCAATTGGCATAACATACTACACAAAAACACTGTTCCACATCCTACTTTGGCAAATAGTGACTGGGATCTTAAAGGCTTGCAAGCAGCCATCTAGATACAATGACGGGTCTCTCCTCATCCAGAGCAAAGAAGAATGAAGAAAACCAAAGACACATGGAAATAATTAGTCCAAGGGACTGATACACCATGCAATGCTCAGATGACTATGAGACCAAGAACTAGTTGGTGCCCAGCTACTACTGTCAACCACTAAGAGGGGGATCTATGTAGGAGATGCTGGATAGAGTGGGAACACAATGTAGAACAAAACTCAAAATCATTAAAAAAAAAAAAAAAAAAAAAAAAAAGGACCAGGTTTGCTGGTCAGAAAGAACCTGGTGGAACCCGAGACTATGGCCCCTAGCTGCCCTTCAGGTCTGGAATTGAATCCACTCCTTTGGCTTCCAGCCAAACAAAAGATAGGCATATGAACTGAACATTTATATTAGGTAGATAACACTTCTTGGAGAGATCAATCATGGGAGAATAGAAGGTTTATGGATGCACAGGGAGACAGCCTGGGGGACAGGAGTGCATGGGAGGGAAGGACACAGGGAAGAGGTGGCTATGGGGAGGAAGTGGGAGGAGAGCTATTGCACTGTGGGAGATTATAGTCAATGTCATGAGACAAAGTATATGTGAGCTGGTGTATAGAGGATGAATTTGCTCTGTAAACTTTCACTCAAATCACAATAAAATTAAAAAAAAAAAAAAATGTTTTCACGTAAAAGAAGTTTGCCTCATTGGGTATTTGTAATGATACTTGGAAAAGTTGTATATTTTAAAGCCTCAATTAGATTTGTCTAGAGAAAGAAGCCTGAATTATCAACATGAGGTACTATCATCTACCCTACACACAGAAGTAAGAGCAAGTCCAATCAACTGTACTAGACCAAAGAGCTGTATTTGCCCAAAACCAAAGATGAGCAAACAGAGAGGGGCAGGGAAACTGAACGAACGGAAATGGGGAACCCAGGGAGGAAACAGAAGAGTGTGACACATTGTGGGGATTGCAACCAATGTCACAGAACAATCTGTGTATATGATCTATTGACTAGAAAATGAATCTGCTTATGTAAACTTTTACCTAAAGCTCAATAAAATGTTGAAAAAGAAAGAAGAGCGAGCAAGTCCCATTAACAGACTGAAACTTCAAGTCTTAAATAGTAAAGACATGCAGTTCATGTAGGATAAGCAGCAGCACTCAAAAAGTGGTAAAAGTGAGCAAGTCTGTGACAAATGACTGACAAAGAGATGAAATCTTGTCAGGAAGGAAGGCTGACAGAGAGGACTGAACACGCGGTCAGTGAGGCCTGAAGACTTGAACAGAAAGTAAGTGTGGAGATAAAGTGGTGACAAATGACAGAAAGAAATGGAGGCTCAAGCTAGAAGAGATCAGACTGTTGAAATAAAGTTATCTAAAAATAACCTAAAAACTTATTTATTAAGGAACATTGATATTTTAAAAATTCCAAAATTCAGCCAAGGGAGAAATTTTCTATCCAAGAAAATGCCACCTCTAACAATTAAGAATAGTGGTTCTGAAACTTTATTATACAGAAGAATGTCCCATGAAACACATAAAATTACAAGATTTAGCCTCACTCCAGAAGTTGTGATTTACTTCCACTGTCCACTCAGGTGGAAAAAAAAACTAGCTCAGGTCTCATTCTGTGGCCTACATGGTTATCTCCAACTATCTCAAGAAATGATCCCCAAAATACTCTCAATATTTCATTTTAATTCATATGAATTTGAAAAACAAACACAGCAGTTTTAAGAGTACAGTATACTGGGTGTGTCTAAGTATACAAGCAAGTACACAGTGCTGATATATAATATACTGGCAAAGACTAGTCTAAGTGAATTATTATAAGCTTTTTAATTTTTCTGCACTTAGAGCATATAACAGCTAAGGAACTTCCTTCTATATAAATACTTGAAAAAAAGTGGAGAATTTTACCCAGATATCATTTGTACAAAAGAAGCTTCTTAGAAAAAATGATTTTAGGTAGGATGTTGAAGGAAAAACAGAACAAGCTAAACATTTAGAAAGACTTCAGTCGTATCTATCAGACAAAAAGAACAGGTGAAGCCAAGCTTGTACCAACAGGATTAGGCAGGAGACGGACAATAAAAGGATGTAAAACAGATGGCAAATGAACAATGTTGTCGTTAGGACAGCTGATTACCACTCACAGTGAACCCCAATACAGAGAACTGCACCCCAGGGTTTCCTGGCTTTCACCTTTCCAGAAGCAGGTCACTAGGTTCTTCTCCTGCAGGGCCGCTGGCTGGGTCCAACAGCCAACCTTTCAGTTACTAGTCAAGTGATTAACCACTGTGCCCTCAGGGCTGCAAATAGGCAATACTGCGCACACAAAACAGAAGACTTGTTCTATCTGCACGTGTTGGCTTAGGGTAAGGCAAATGCCAACCTAGAATGGGCAGGTCTTCAAGAATTTGAAAGGGAAACAGAGGCCGATGATATTAACATCTGGGAAAATAAAAAGGTATGATGAGGTCAGCAAATCAATTCTTAGGAGAAAAGAACTGAGATCCTAGTATGCCTATATCCAAGAAATCAGCAACAGTGATAGCCCCTATGGTGGGAAGAAGCAAAGAGTTCTGGACAAAACTGATGAAACATAAAGACTGCCCTGAGTGGCAAAGGCCCACGCGCTCACGTTCTAGACCACTTGGAGTTCCGGTTCTCACCACAGTGCCTTAAGGAATGGAGCTCCCAAGATGCCCATTTGAGCTGGTTCTCCACAGCATCAAGCTCAGAATTTGGTAATCCCTGAGCTTCTTCTTGAGATACTACCTCCTCTACTAGCACTTCCCGTTTTCGCCGACGAAGAGAAACCTGCAAACAATAGAATTTGATTCAGCTGGGAAGGAATTTTAATGAGAATAAGAATGCACAGAAATCATACAAAACATATACAAGGAAGTCCCCAACTTACAACAGAGTTCCTTTCCAAACTCTGTTATAAGACGGTTCGCATGTAAGTTAAACACCACTTTTTGTCATCTTTTAGTTTTCATTATTATTGCCTTTTTAAAATTAGTATCTTTATAAATCCTGTATTTGTCTTTAGAGGTTGGAAATACATATAAATTTACAGATAAAACATCAGCAAATTACATACTGCAACATTCTATGTTGCATGTATTACTAACAGTAAAACCAAAACCCACTGCCATCAAATCAATTCTGATTTATATAACAACCTTAAAGGACAAAACAGAACTGCCCTATAGGGTTTTCAAGGCTGTAAATCTTTACAGAAGCAGACCACCTCATCTTTCTCCTGCAGAGCAGCTGGTGGTTTGAACTGCCAACCTTATGGTCAGCAGCTGAAAGCCTTAACCACTGCACCCCAAGCTCCTTGTGCAGTTCCTCTAACTCAAACATGTCATAAGTCAGGGCTACCTATGCTACAGAGGTCTAGATGGCAGAGAAACTCAGATCACGGGGAGTAGTGAGGAAGAAGGCATAAGCCTAATTCTAACGTAGTGAGTGAAATGTATAATTGAGCAGCTTTGCCTGCTGGTATGCCAGTACGTGCCACAAGGAGGCTCACCGGTTGTCCAGGGTCATCAAGCTCACTCTCCAAATCCTCCAGCACTGTCACTGCTTCCTCTCCATTCTCTGGATGATGCTCTCGAACCCAGGTCTGTAACTCTTTGGGTAGGATGGCTACAAACTGTTCCAGCACTACCAGCTCCAAGATTTGTTCTTTTGTGTGTGTCTCTGGTCTGAGCCACAGACGACAAAGTTCTCGGAGCTGGCTCACAGCTTCACGGGGCCCAGGTGAATCCTGGTATCCAAACTGCCTGAATCGTTGTCGGAAAACTTCTGGGTCAGGAAGATGGTTCCATGGGATACTTGATCCCTCTTCACCATCAGGATCCTCCTCCAGCTTCACTCGGAGAATTTTTTCTTCTTCATCTGGAGTTGGGATGATAAGTATTGAATCTTCTTCCACTGGCTGTGCAGACATCCTGAATTACAATACTTCAAGAAAGGAAAATCAAGTCAGGACACAGGACTCAGGGAAAATCCCCGTTTTCTTCACAGGCACTCCTGAAGTACAAGAAAAAATAAATTACACGAATGACTAAATTACCTGTTAAGAATTTAGGCAGATGCTAGTTGAGAAATATTTAGTGTATTTCAGTAAAAGATATTTGTTCTCACACTGGATTAAAAATTACATTCAATAACCTGCACCAAAAGCAAACTCATTGCCATGGAGTCAGGTCCAACTCACAGCAACCCCTCCTTCAGTTTTCAAGGTGGTATTTCTACGGAAGTAAATTGCCCAAACTTTCTTCTGAAGAGTGACTGGTGGGTTTGAACCGCCAGACTTCTGGTTAGCAATCAAATGCCTTAGGCATTACACCACCAGAGCTCCCAGCAAGCTACAGACTGCAGCCTAGTAAGGCCTGCCAGCTTTTGTACAACCCTGGTACTAAGAATGGTTTTCTCATTTTCAAATGGTTAAAAATATCAAAGAATAGCTTCTAACACATGAAAATGGTATGAACTTGAAATTTCTGTGTCCACAAATAAAATTTTATTGGAACACATCCACAATCACTTGTTTACATTGCATATTAGACAGAGTAGTTCTGACAGACACTGTATGGTCTGAAAAAACTAGTTTGCCAATCTATGATCCACAGAATTAACAAACTCTATTGCAAGCAATTAAAAAAAAAAAAAAAAAAATCCAAGAACGACCCAACCAGGTCCATGCTTTCTAAATGCATTTGACCTTTTTTTCCCATTACCACTGAATTGATTCCAACTCATGGCAACTCCATGTGTTACAGAGAACTGCTCCATAGGGTTTTCTTGGCTGCCATCTGTGCAGAAGCAAAGCGTCAGGCTTTTCTTCTGCATCACTGCTGGACTGGTTCAAACCACCAACCTTTAGGTGGTGGTGGTTGTTAGGTGCCATCGAGTCAGCTCCGACTCACAGTGAGTGACCCTATGTACAACAGAACAAAACACTGCCTGGTTGTGCACCATCCTAACAATCCTTGCTATACCTGAGGCTATCACTGCAGCCACTGTGTCAATCCCTCTTGTTGAGGGTCTTCCCCTTCCTCACTGACCCTCCACTTTACCAAGTATGATATCCTTCTCCAGGGGATTGTCCCTTCTGACAATATGACCAAAGTCAGTGAGACAAAGTCTGGCCATTCTCACTTCCAAGGAGCATTCCAGCTGCACTTCTTCTAGGACAGATTTGCTCACTGTTCTGGCAGTTCATGGTACTTTCAATATTCTTTGCCAACACCACAAATCAAATGCATCAACAATTCCTCGGTCTTCCTTATTCATTGTCCAGCTTTCACAAGCACATGAGGCAACTGAAATTACCATGGCTTGAGTTAGGCACACCTCAGTCTTCAAAGAGACCTCTTTGTTCTTCAGCACTTTAAAGAAGTCTTTTGCAGAAGATTTGCCCAATGCAATATGACATCTGATTTCTTGACTCCTATTTCCATTGGTGTTGATTGTAGATGTAACATGAAATGTTTGACAACTTCAATCTTTCCTCCGTTTATTACATGCTGTTTATTGGTACAGTTGTGAGGATTTTCGTTTTCTTGATGTTGAGGTATAATCCACACTGAAGACTGCAGTCTTCAATCTTCATCAGTTTGTGTTTCGATTCATCTTCACTTTCAGCAAGCAAGGTTGAGTCATCTGCATATTACACGTTGTTATTGAGTCTTCCTCCAATCCTGCTGTCATGTTCTTTGACTAACCTTTAGGCAAACTGTTGTGCCACCCAGGGACCTTGCATTTGGCCCTGTTGTTGTTAGCTGCCACCAGAGATCCAACACCATGCGTGCAGAGTAGAACCGCTCCATAGGGTTTTCAAGGCTGTGACTTTTCAGCAGCAGATTGCCAGGCCTGTCTTCCTAGGCATATCTGGATGGGTTCAAATTGCCTATCTTTCAGTTGACAGTCAAGCCCTAAACCATTTGCCCCACCTGGGGACTCCTGTAGTTGATCCTAGAACCAAGTATTTGTAATTAAGGACTGGTATTCTTTGACATATTCTGTCCGACTCAAAAGTAGGAACTAATTTTTTCTTTAATCTGTTAAAACAATATTTTTTAAGTTGAACCCTCACAACTTAAACATTCAACTGCTCCATAACAGACCACATAATACTGAAAAAAGTTACACCAGGTGCCATACAATATAAATATTCTGTCAGCTAGCATACCATAAATACATTTAAATTTACAAGCATAAACAAAACAAAAAACACCAATCCCTCTCTAACTGGTCAACATGGACTCACAACCACCCTATAGGACTGACCAGAACTGCCCCATATGGCTTCCAAGACTGTAAATCTTTATGGAAGCAGACTCCCTCAACTTTCTCCCCCAGAGCAGCTGAGGGGTTTGAACTGCCAACTTTTGGTTAGCTGCTGAATGCTTAACTGCTGCACCACCAGAGCGCCTTGCATTAAGCAATGCAAATTCTATGAAAAAAAAAGGTACTCTCATAATCACCGCAAGTTTTTGCAGTGGCCCAGAATCCTGTCCTTAAGCTTCCACCTTCAAGAAAACTTTATGCTTTTCCTGTTCCTTTCCTTAGTATTTGCACAGTCATCCCCGTGAAACTGTAGGTTGTTACTATGATGTGCCGTGGAGTTGGACCCAACTCTCAGCCACTCCTCCTTGGGTTTCCGAGGCAATATCGTACGGAAGTGGATTGCCCATTGCCCAACCTTCCTTCCGAGTGGCTGGTGTGTTTGAACCGCCAGTTTTCTGGTTAGCTGTCAAGTGCCTTAAGCACTGTGCTACCAGAGCTCCTGTGGCACTGTAGACAACACAGATAAGGAATGAGCCATGTAGCTCTGTGTATTTAGGGCCCAGAAACTGAAAATCAGTAACATCAAGATACTCATTTTAACTTCAGATGAAGGCTGTTGCAATCAGAAAAGACCTGGTCAGACACTAATACATACAGATTTACTTAAGTACTCTGGAGTGTAGAGGCCTTACAAATCGGGTTAACCAACAAATTCTTTTCAAGTTTCATTCATCAATAGCTCAAGCACTTGTAGATAAAATCATCTTCCTTTGAGTTCTCATACAGCACCGTGCTCGTAGTACGTGGAGGTCCCTGAGCTGGCAGGCCCGCGATTCTGACAATGTTTAGGGTAGGGAGTCTCGTTCCTGGTGAAAGCGCCACCACATTCCTGCAAAGCGTGCCACGAACCCCGTCCCAGTCCGGGAGACCTCCGGCCCCTATTCCTGGCACTTACGGTGTCTGATTCCTGAAGACCAAAGGCTACTCTGCGACAACAGAGCCGCCGCACTTCCGTCCGAGACCCGTGGGACTACAAATCCCGGCAACAGTCGCGCCAGGCCCGCCCTCTCCCACCTCCGCCCGAAACGAGTCCCAGAACCCTCCGCGATGCGCCAAGGCCTCGAAATAGAACAAAACCAGCTGGTGGGGGAGGGGGAAGGCGGGGATGGCTAGGGACACAGGAGATGAGCGAATATGAGCTGCAGATGGCGAAGATCCAAGCAAGCCTTCCGTCTTTTCCTCCTGTCTCCCAGATGCTGGGTGCGGCGAACGGGGCCCGTTCCCTACGCCTCCCTGGAAGTCGCGGAAGGTCCTCACCCGGCTCTTTCACTCGCTCCTTCCACGAAACCCACAGCTTCGAGCCCAGCGTCCCCTTCGTACACCCTTTCCCCGCTTGGACGCAAACCTCGGGCTCAGGAACCGCAACAGCTTCGCTGTCCAGGGCAGACGCTGAAACGCCGCTAAATAAGTTCTTCCCAGAAGCCTCCGGCGCGGACTGCTTCCGGTCTGCTGGCCCGAGGGGGCGGGGAGAGGCGAAGCCCCGCGTTGCCATGGAGATGCGCTCCGCGAGGAGGAGGAGGGGTGGCCGGACGACAATGACCACATTGAAATCATGCTTGGCCCCGAGCCTTTTCTCATAGGACAACCGAAAGTTTTGTGTACAGCTTAAAAGAAAAGAAAGAAAGAAATCTGCCATTTTAAGATAGTCTTTACAGCTTAACAAACCTTTTCACGTTCTTCATCTCCTGTTACCCTTACAGTAAGCCTCTGAGGGAAGTAATATTTATGAGGGCTCGTTGCATTGTGCCAGGGACTGTTCTCCCTGCTTTACATGTTTTAAGTCGTTTAATTTTCACAACAACCCTATGAGGTAGAAACTTTTATTATCCCTCTTTCACAGGTGAGATAACTCAGGCAAAAGTAAGTAACTTGCCAACAGTTCTTAGCTAGTAAGTGGAAGCAAGATTTGAAACCCAGGCATGATTCCAACCTTTGGTTACTACCCATTATGCTAGAGAGCTTTTTTATGACCAATTTATCTTTCAGGGAAACAACGTAAGACAAGTTAAGAGCTTTGGTAAAGATTTTATAATGAATTTGCACAACACAGGGTCGCTTCTGACTTAAGGCATTTCATACCACAAAACAGCTGTGAAGTTATTATTTTAAAACATAAGTCATTTCATTTCCCTATGTGAAAGCCTCCAATGGCTCTCCATTTCTTTAAATATGACTCAAAACTCCTGTGGTCTACCCTCTGCCTGTCCCCTCTGACCTCAATTGTCAGGTTCATCATGGCCCAGAATCTTCAGCCTCACTACCCTTAACAGCACTTTTAGAAGTGATCTTTGAATAAGAGAACCCCAAATTAACTGAGGACCTGCGACATGAGATGGTGGCTATGCTAATGTGAGGCTAAAACTACATTTTGAATCAAAAGTAACGTCTGCATCAGGAATACAGCCCGTCTTTCCAGTAACTCTCCACTGTATCCTGAGAAAATTGCTTGGTAAACAATTCCAGAAAACAATGTGATTTTACAGATATTGTTTGCTGCCTAAGCAAACCCAAAGCCACTGTCATCGAGTTGATTCTAACTCATCAAGACCTTTTCAGACAGAGTAGAACTAACCCATAGGGTTTGCAAGACTGTAATCTTAGAAGCAGGCTGCCTCATCTCTCTCCTGCTGAGCAGCTGGTGGGGTCAAAGGCTGACCTTTTAATTAGCAGCAGAACGCTTTAACCATTGTGCCACCAGAGCTGCCTAGGAAGCTAGGTCCAAAAGAATTCTCAAAACAGATGCCTGTTAAAACAAATGTTAGAATTATGCATGTCATCCCTGTGGTCACACAAGGAGGGTCTCATGATTGTTTTGAGGCCAGATATACCCCATTTAATAATTAACTTTATAAAACTTTAGAAATGTATGTGATCTCCTACCAATCAGATGTACCATCATCAAATTTTGTAACTACTACCTAAATCACTGAATTTTTACTGAATCTCCTTGTATTCTTTTATATAAACTCTGAACTGTCTCCTCCTTAGATCACTTAGTTCAGAACGCTCTGGACTTTATGATTCCCAACTTGCAATTTCCTCTTGATTAAAGCTCCTCACTTTTAATTTCAACCAGACTCTGCCATTTTTGCTCTACGACATCTTCTTTATTTATTTACCTGATTTGTTTTGTCTGTTAAGTTCCATAAGGGCAGAGACTCATCTGTCATATTCACCATAGTATTCTCACCAGATCCAGGATACTGACTGCCTGCTACAGGGAGAACTCAATAAATATTTATTGAATAAATGAAGGAATTCTGGGCTGGTCACATTGCTGCCTTTGCTAGGTCACATGTGAAGTGCCTAAGGCATTTGAGTGTTAACCAGAAGGTTGACGGTTCAAACCCATTAGCTACTCCACAGAAGGGAGACTGGGCAATCTACTTCCATAAAGATTTACTGCCTTGGAAACCCAAAGGGGGTCGCTATGAGTCAGAACCGACTTGATGGCAGTGGCTTTGGTTTTTTGGTTTATGTCTGGCATCAGAAACCAGAAGAAAAAGAGCCTTGTTGTTTAAGATCTGTTAGAAGTATAGGCCCATTCTCCCTGGAGCATTCCAAGATCCTCAGGCCTCAGCTTTCCATCTCATTCAACCTCATTCAGGACTACCCCTGTAGAAAGCACCCTTTTCCTCCACTGGATGCAGGAGTGAACCAGTGAGAAACTGATGGTATAGAACTGCTTATCACTCTGACCAGTACTCCATCTCCCCATATTGTTGTTGGTAGGTGTTCTTTCCCCTGTGAAACTGCTGGTTGCGTTTGAACAGCCAACTTTTGGGTTAGCACCCAAACACTTACCCATTGGGCCATCAGGGGTCCTCTGTCTCCCCATAATTGCTGCTAACTCTAATGCCTCTTTCATCTTTGTAGGAGATTTTAGAATCCAGCCTGCTCATTTTCCTACTTAGCTGCTGCCACTAGTCAACTTAGTTGCTCTTCCCAATTTCTCTTTTGTGGCTCTTAAAGGCTAACTCCAAAGAATGGTGATCCAACAGAATGCAGAAATTATCCAACAGTATCATTAATATCACACACAAGTAAAATTTTGCTGAATACAATTTACAAACACTTGGAGCAGTACACCAACAGGGAACTGCCAGAAATTCAAGCTGGATTCAGAAGAGGATGTGGAATGAGAGAGATCATTGCTAATGTCAGATGCATCTTGGCTGAAAGCAGAGAATATCAGAAATATGTTTACCTGGGTTTTATTGACTGTGCAGAGGCATTCAACTGTTTGGATCATTAACAAATTATAGATAACATTGTGATAATGGAAATCACAGAACACTTAACTGTGCTCATGCAGAACCTGTATGTTGACCAAGAGGCAGTCATTCGAACAGAACAAGGGAATACTGCACGGTTTAAAATCAGGAAAGGTCTGTTTCAGGGTTGTGTCCTTTCACCATACTTATTCAATCTGTATGCTGAGCAAATAATCCAAGAAGCTGGACTATATGAAGAAGAACGAGGCATCCAGTTAGGAGAAAGACTCATTAACAACTTTCGATAAGCCAATGACACAACTTTGCTTGCTGAAAGTGAAGAGGATTTTGAGGCACTTACTGATGAAGATCAAAGATTACAGCCTTCAGTATGGATTATACCTCAACATAACTAAAGAAAAAAAATCCTCACAACTGTACCAATAAGCAACATCGTGATAAATGGAGAAAAGATTGAAGTTGTCAAGAATTTCTTTTCACTTGGATCCTCAATCAACACTCACAGAAGCAGCAGCCAATAAATCAAACAACATATTGCATTGGGCAAAATCTGTTGCCAAAGACTTCTTTGAAGTGTTAAAAATCAAAGATGGCATCTTGAGAACTGACACAAGCCATGATATTTTCAATCATCTCATATACATAAGAAAGCTGGACCATGAACAAGGAAGACTGAAGAATTGATGTCTTTGAATTATGGTGTTGGTGAAGAATAGTGAATATACCATGGGCTGCCAGAAGACCAAACAAATCTATCTTGGAAGAAGGGCAGCCAGAATGCTCCTTAGAAGGGGGGATGGTGAGACTTTGTCTCACTTTCTTTAGACATGATATCAGGAGGGAGAAGGACATAACGCTTGGTAAAGGAGAGGGTCAGTGAAAAAGAGGAATACCCTCATCAAGATGGACTGGCCCAGTGTCTGCAATAACAGGCTCAGACATGGCAATGATTGTGAGGATGACGCGGGACCGGACAGTGTTTGGTTCTGTTGTACATCTCAGTCGGAACCGACTCAACGGCACCTAATAACAACAAGAAAGACTAGCTCAAGGTATTTTTGTCTTGTTTTGCTTTGCTTTAAAGGTTTTTATGTCTAACCAATATAGGAAAACAAAAAGATTTTTAATAAATCAAACGAAAATCTTGGGGGAAGTTAAAAATGTTGCAAAGTTTTATAAAACTTTTGTCTGTGAATCCCTGTTCTATCATTCTTAATTTTTTTTCTAAGTCACTAAATGGAAACCCCAATGAGCTTTTCCTCACTAATTTACTCTTCTGAGGACAGGGACCAAAAACACTCATTTAAAAACCCCATCCTTCTGAGCCCCCTATATACACTCCTTCCTGAACAGTGGCCACTGTTACCATCTTAGAGATCTATTCAAGATAAAACATGTTCCTCTGGGCATCTTGACTATAGAAAATAGCTCCATGTCAGTTCCTGATAACCTTGCATGTAACAACATAGGCCACATAGGCAAGACTTGAACCATAATTGATTTGCCTTGTAATCCTCTAAGAACATGAGAGCATAGGAGGCATTTGAGGAGCTGCTACATTTCCCACTTTGCTCCCTATCTTCCAAGAAGACATCATGAGACAGTTTCCTAGCACTTCTTGGGTTCTGAGGAGGCTTTTTGCCTCACGCCTGTGATTGATAAGGTTGTATGTCAGCTTGGCTAGACCATGATTCTCAGTGGTTGGCAGTTATGGTGTAGTTTGGCAATGTAATGATGTAATTTGGCAGCTATATAATGATGTAGTTGTCCCCTATTTTGAGATCTGTACAATGTAATCACCTCCATGATATCTGCTATGAGAAGCCAATCATAAAGAAAATGGAAAAGAACATTTTCCCAATGATAACAAGACGTTTCCTTGGAGGTGTGGCCTGTACCCAAAATATATGGACATTCTGGCAAAGCTCTCTGTTTTTTCTGCTCACTCTACATCCTGCATCCAGCTCATCATCATCTGACCTCTGGTTCTTGGGACCTGCGCCAGCGGCTGGCTATAGTGCTGGCCGATCTTAGAATTTGTGAGCCAGCAGCTCACCGACGCTCTTGGGTTCATCAGCCCCTGCAGCTACATGAGTCAGGAGAAGCCTCTAAGGCTTCCATGAGTCTAAGGTCTGACCCATGGACTAGGGACTTGCCAACTTCCATACTTATGTGAGCCATTTCTTTGAGATAAAATCTCTGTATATGTATATAAACATATGTAAGCTTCACTGGTTTTGCTGTGAGAAGCCAGTCTAAAATGCCCCTCCTTCATGGACAGCTGCAGGCTATACAACTACTTAGCTACAGCATGGCATTGGCCCCTCGGCAACTTGTGTTGTACTCATCTGCCCCTTTTGTTTTGGTGC